CGACGTCCTCTGCTACGACGCTGCGTTCCACGTCGCGATCCTCAACAACCAAAACGTCTTGCAGTGGTTGGCGACGCATGCTGCGACGGATAGGACGGCACGGCGCATCTACGTGGCGCTCGGTGTCGACGTCCTTGACGGTCCAGCGGCGCCGACGACAGACGACGACGGCGCAGCCACCTTGTCGGAAGACGCGATCGACGAAGGCGCTGCCGATGGCGCGTTCGGCTACGGACCCGTGCGGACGGACGCGGTCTTGGCGACACAGTTGTCGCGGGACCTGGAGTCGCGCTACTCTGGCTACTCGGACAACTTTAGCTCGAGCTACGGCGACAACTATGGCTCGTCCTCGAGCTTCGCGCCAGGTTCGTACAGCAGCTACGGCGAGTATGCGCCGAGCTCTAGTAGCACCAACTACTACAACGAGGCCGTGATTGACGACGAGCACGACGAGCACGTCATATGCCCGCACTGCCTCGGCAACGTCAACGTCCCGCCCGGCTGCAGTGCGTACCTGCATACGATTCCGTGTCCACTGTGTCAGCGCCCGCTCGGCGGCTCGTCGCCGGCACCCGCGCCGCCTGGCACCACCACGATTACCTGCAAGGGCTGTCGCCGTGGTCTGCACTTGCCCGATGGATTGGACCTCGCCGACGTTGTCTGCCCCGAGTGCAACTCTGTCAACAAGTTGTTTTGGCGCCATGAAAGAGTCGCTGCTCATACGTGTGGCCGTAGGATCGACCCGACGCCCAAGCCGACGCTTGTCAAGTGCGGGCACTGCCACAAGATGCTCTCGGCGCCGCCAGGGCAGCCCACGATCCAGTGCGGCCACTGCAAGGGCGTCTCACGCGTCATGGGCTCGGATGGTAGGCACGCATCGTCCATCGTTGGCTCGGACTAGAGAGTCTGCGCGTAGATGTCGTCAAGGTAACGTGCGCCAAGTGCAAGACCCTCTTGGCAGTGCCAAGCGGCTCGACAGTATACAAGGTACACACACAGCCACGATATAAGGGAATGGTTTACACTCTGTATGTTAGTGCCTCAAGTGCGGCCACGTGTCCAAGTGAGATCCTCGCCTCTCTGTCGTGTGTCGTTCTTAGGCGGATGCGTCCATTAAACTCAAAAGATCGTCGTCGTCGCCGCCCTTTTTACCTACGTCCCTCGTGGCATCACTCATCTTTCAATGTATCAAGACGCACCCTCCGCGCGGGCCTTGACGTCCACATCAAAGTCGTCCAAGAGGTGCTTGGTCGCATCCTTGTGGTCGCTCAGCGCATCGATCGTGATCATGGTCACGTGCGCGTCCGTGCCCTTGCCGTCGCTACACACGCATACATCATCCTCCTCGTGTTGCGTTCAAGGACGAACGTCGCGTCGTCGTCGTCGCCCGTGTCGCCCGCAAACAGCGCAATCTTGAAGGGCTTGGCGTCCGTCGTCTCCTTGGCCGAGTTCCCGAGGAGGTCGGCGAGCAGGTTGAGCCCGTCCTGCGCCGTCGCCTTGTACTGCTTGGCGGGTGCGTCCAATTTGTCGGCGCCGCGCGTGCGCTTGGCATCGGCGGTTAATTCGGCGCCCGACTTGAGGTCCGGCTTGGCCGTCGGCGCATACCTACCCCTCCCTCTCAGGTCGCCTGTCGCTGCTTATGTATGCACGCACAGGTTTTCGCCAAACGGGCACAGCGCCGGGTCCCGCGTCAAGATCGGACCGTCGTCGACGGCGATGGCGCCGACGGCGTTGGCCAAGTCGAACATGTCCTTGTCGACCACTTTGCCGCGGTCGTCAAAGTATCTAGTAACATTGTCATCACAGACAACTTGTCCACAATCCAAAACCTACCGGACGACGCCGGGGATGTCGCCGCCGGTGGCGATTGGACCGTGGGCGCGCAACACGAAGGCGCCATCGGGGTTTTGGAGCCCCGCCTGGAGGAAGAGGGAGACTTTGATGCGCACGTCTTGGAAGAAGCGCGCGAGATGCTGCTTGAGCAGTAGAAAGTTGGCGTGCGAGAGAGCTCCATAGACCTACGCTGGCTAAACAAACGAAACGAGCAAGTCGACCGTACCGACGCCGTGAGCACGACCGCGTCTTCGATGAGCGAGGTCGCTTCGTCGGCCTTGACAATCGCCTTGATGCTCTGGAGGTGGTTCATGGTCACTTGCACGAGCTGGTCGGCCGACGAGCACGCGAGGAGGTTGGACTTGAACCCCATGCGCATGAGCCCATAGAGCTAAGGCGTATGGTCATGTAGTGGGTTCTAGAGACGGTGTACCTTGTCCATGCTCGACTGGTTGAGGCGCATGATGGACGAGTGCGCGAGCCGGTCAAAGATCTGGCGCGTCGAGAGGTTCGAGTACATGTGGTGCGGCCGGAAGAGCTCCGAGATGAACTTGGTGTTGTACATGGTCTTGACGACATCGACGAGCACTAGCGACGCTTGTTACGCTTGTGTTAAGTAGCACGAAGCGAACCTTTGGTGCTCTTGTCTTCGGGAATGTTCTGCGCCTTCAAGCGCTGGTCCAGCACGTAGATCATCTCGCCGCCCATGTTGATGAGCAGCATCGGCATGGCCAGGAGCGCCCCGGACGTCATGGTGCCAAATCCAAACTGCAAGAGCCACCCGACCCTGAAACTCTCATCAGCTTCTAGATCGCTTACCCCTAACCCTTCGGTAGTGGTACAAGCGTATCCTTACGCGTGCTCAATGAGTACGTGATCACTTTTACGTGGTCTGCGTCGTCCGGTGGTCGTGACACCACTCGCTGCGTTCGCTTGCTGGCGGCGAGCCATCGTCCTATCTCCTTTCAGCGCTCTGCGCGCCCGTGGTCACCAGGAGGATGTGCCGTGGGGTGGTAGAGTCCACTGACGCGTTGTGTCGGGAACCAAGGTCGTGACGGCAGGTACTGTACGTCGACTCTTAAAAGACAAACCGATCGCAGTCCCCGTCGTCCCAGTTGCACGAGGGCGTCATGCACTCGATGTTGCAGTTGGTGTTGCCAATCAAGCTGTCGTAGCAGCCTACGTTGCACTGCGGGCGGCAGATCGTGTCGCGGGCCTCGAAGATCGCGCGCTCCAGCGGTGCGAGCCCGATTGCATCGGGGCGCGCCCAGAGACGGTCGCACAGCGGCGTGTGGCGAATGACGAGCCGGCCTGTGAAGAGCCACGTCACATCCAACTCGATTGGCAGCGACGTAATCGGGTTGCCTTCTAAATGCAGCGTCTGGTATGGCCCGACGAGGTCCACAATCGATGCAGGGACGTGCGCAATGGAATTGTTGACGAGGTTGAGCAAGCCCACGGCCGGTATATTGGTCGGCAGGTCGACAATGACATTGTTTTGAAAATTGACATTGGTCATCTGCGGCGCCAGCAGAAGCGGCATTCGATCCAAGCTCGCGTTGCTCACTTCGAGCATGACGAGCGATTGAAATGCAGCAGGCAGCGACGCATTCGCGTACAGCGAGACGTTGCGGAGGAAGACATATTGTACATTGCCCGAAAAACGCTGCAGGACCGTTGGCACCGACGGCAAGTAGAGATGGCAGAGGAAGATGGCAAACAAACTGGCCGGCAGCGCGTCGGGCGAGATGTCCCAGCGCACCGTGTTGGTCCGCTGCAGCGTGATGCTGTAGAGGTTGATCATGCGCGCCATGGTCGGCGCCGAGACCGCGTGTGGCAGGTCGCACTGCTCCACCTCCAAGTCAAAGAGGTCGGGTAG